ATTGCAGCACGCTACTCTATGGTTGACAGTTTCATAAAATAAATGCTTGAGAAAACATAAAATACAAACCTAACATTAACCTAATTCACTAACTAAATACAAATTTTTTTCTTTGAGTCAAGTCAATAATACAAAATGGTTTTCTATACAATAAAAAATATAAATAAAGACTATACAAAATCTTATAATGGTTACAACTTTTGTGAAATATGTTCCGTTTATGAATCTTATGAAGAAGTAATTGTGTTTAATAAAAAAATTTTTACGCACCTATCTCTTATATAAGACAACTGTTAAAACTGGTTTAGTTTTTTAAATTAAATTCATTTGAATCTTTTCCAAAAAAAAATCACACAAAAAAATAAAGGCTTTAGTTGTACCAGACATTTTAAAATCTGCTTTAAATAATCTTTTGAAGATGTAATTAATTTCGTTACTTTATTTTTTGTTCTTTAAAAATTCCAAATAAATAATTATAATTAATATCAATATTTATATTTATTGTTTTATAAAATTTGTTTTTTAGTAACTTGTCCAACTTCAAAGTAGAATGAGAAAAATGTATTTAAAGATAGAAAAGAGTTGATATTTTTTTCTATATGAATAAATTTTTGATTATTTACTTCATTTACTTAATAGACCATTAGTGGCAGCAGCCAAAAGTGGATAAAACAAGTAACCACTATATCACTTGTTGGAATGTTATCGGCTGGCCACTTAAGTAATTTACCAAGTAAACGATGAGTTAAACTCCATTTAATTGCTCAGAATGCTTTTATAGGCTCACTGCAAATCCACTACAACAATATTTGCTGATAAAGTTTCAATATGTAATCATTTGATTATTGTCGTATATATTCAGGGTTCCCAATCCTCCTTAAAAACCTTAAATATCCTTGGGGAAAAAAACCTTTAAAAGTACTTAAATAATCTTTAAAAAAGTTAAAATTTGACTGCTCTCCTTAATTTACTTTTCTTTAAATTTTTGTTTTATTAATTATAAATTTATTTATAAACATATATAATATATGTATTGGTCATAAAAACTTCTATTATGTCAGTCTGGTCAGTAACTACATTGGTCAGTACTATATTGGTCATAAAAACTTCTATCTTAGTCTGGTCAGTAACTACACAGCAAGAAGCATCTTTCTAACTTGCACAACTCATTGAGCCAGAAATCAGTTGTTGCACTACTAACAACAAAGCCTTAAATTTTTTTACTAGTAATCTAAATAGATGTTCTACAGATTTTAACTCTCGTTTGCATAAATTAATTAGTCTAAACTCAAGACCGACTCAAAAACTAGTAATCTTGGATATAATACTAAGTAACGCCCCTAAATGTTACATTTCTCAAACTCTCCCTGGACTTTGTAACTCTCATCACCTTGTTGTTTTATGTCAACCTTTATTTTATCTATACAAAAAATACCTACCCGATCCACGTAAAATAGCCTACCGCTCCGGTAAAATAAAAGATTCAGTAGCATTAATTAGAAGCACTGACCTCAAAAACTTAGTCGAGTTGCATCAGATAATCAAAGCGCATGCACCAATTTCTTCAATGCAATATTAGCTGTTCAAGATTTGTGCTAACCACTGAAAACTTCAATACTTACTTACCCCAAACCTTGGATGACCCCCTATATTAAAAGCTTAATAAAGTTACATTAAACTAAAAAATCATTATCATAATGTTTTGAAAGATAAAAATGTTTATGATATTTCAATCTTTATTAACACGAATCCAGATCGACCTGCAAATCCCATTTTTACTTACAATAATATTTTAACCCAACTAAATAAACTAAAGTCTGGATCACTATTTTCAAAGTAAGATGGAATCTCTATGCAATGTAAAGTAATAGAAACACTTGTTAGCAAGAGAGAGGAAAAGTGTTTTTTTATTGTTATATCCAATATTCTTGCCATTTCTTAATTACATCAGCTTTTTAAAAAATTAACTAAAATAAATAGAAGTGATAATAAATACAAAATAAACTCACTAAATTAGATATACGTTAAAGTTGTTGTTTAATTTTATGTAATTATTGTATTTATGTTAAGATTGTCAATGTTATGTATATTATTAAAGCTGCTATTGATGAAACTTTATTAAACAAACAAAAATTAATAATTTTTATGTTGTTATTAATCTTTGTTTTTACATATCCAATTATATAGTGTTATACAAAATAGTTTTTGTATACAAACGTTTTTTGGTGTTTGTTTTTTTAAGAATGGCGATGAAGGCATAATGAGCTACAAAGAATACAAAAAGGTAAAATTAACACAATTGAAAATTTTTAAATTTTGTAGATGTGGTATGTGTCTCACTTTAAATTGATTGCATACATTCAGTTTTAAGTAGGTGTAGTAAGTGTCTCACTTTAAACTGATTGCATACATTCAGTTTTAAGAATTTTTTCTTTGCTTAAATTAATTTCTTTTTTTCTGATTTGTTTAAAGTGGAAGAACTATCAAAAAGCATCAGAAGTTTTGTTTATCTTTGAAATTGTCCTTCTTTGTGATGTACCACTAAAAGCGAACTTAGTCAAATCTTTCTTTTTTGATTGCAATCGTTTGCCTATTAATGTAATTTTTAAATATTACATTGTATATTTAATTTTATGTTGTATAAACAGTTATAAATTCTAAGAAATAATAGATTTATATCATACAACGTGTGTTATAATATTTATATAATGTATAATATGTATTATAAAATAATAATAATGCATTTTATATTATTTTTTATAATATTAAAATTAATCCTTAGTCCTCATAATATACTCATGTATTATTTACCTTGACAAGGTAAATAATATATTAGTATATTTGGAGGATTATGGAGTAATTTTACTTTTATAAAAATAATATATAATGCATTATTATTATTTTATGAAAACTATTATATAGATGTGCATATTGAACAATGCATTTCTGGTACGTGTTCTACTTGATAAAATGGTTAACATGCGTTTTAAATGCGCATTTAATACAAAGAAAACATCGTGTTGAATAATATCTAATTACTGTAATATATATGCGTATTTTAAAGAGTATCAAATGCGGATTTGATACTGAGTAGGATTTGCATCGCATATTCACTTTTAAACGCATGAAGCGTATTTCTAATGCGTGCTTGATACTATAAAATGGTCAACATACATACCAGAGTGATGCGTACTCAAACAAGTTTTTAATGCGCATTTACAACTCAATGTGCCGGCTGGGATACACTCTTATAAACGATATCAACACTAAAGTTTATATATATATATATATATATATATATATATATATATAATATATATATATATATATATATATATATATATATATATATATATATATATACATATATATATATTAATTTATGTTCATTAAGTTGCAGCATTCATAAGTGCAGCATTAGTACGCCAAAGGAATTTGCAAAATCTGGCATAACTACAAATCCTATGTCAATGTTTTCAAATTTTTTCGCCACACTAATGCCAGTTTTTGCTAAATTTTTCGGCGAGTTTACGCATATGCCAATTTATGCTTCGCCATTTTGCACAAATGAAGTTTGCACTTATTCAGTCGCCCATATTCAGTTAGCACTTAGTGTATGCAGTATCTTTTTTTTTTTTTTTTTTTTTTAGTATACTTTTTTTGGTATTTTTTTTACTAATCTTAACTAAATTTATATTCTTCGATAAATTTTAAATTTCACTCAAAAATCTCTAAGCTTTCAAAACTTATGACTATATGGTTTATTCCTGTTTCATGTCAGGAAGTTAGCTCAAACATCAAATAAATGCTGCATCCGCCCCTGTACTGAGTTATTTTTATGATTTAGGACAACACATAAATATTTTTTATGTAGGAACGCACTAACAAAAAAAATTATTTCAGATGATATTTGTGTTGAAGATAATGACAGTTCAAGAGTTTCTCAAGCAAAGTTTCTCAAACAGCTCAAACTAATGACTTAAGTTCAGATCATTATTTGGAATTAATTAAATCGGGGATTATAATAAGCCAAAGTCAAGAAGAATTTTGCACAAATGATTCAGAAACAACAAGAAAAGATGGAAATTCTGAACTTCTGATTGAGTAGAAATGGTTGAACTTCATTCAAAAATATCAGATTTTTCACCGATCTCAGGAGAAACTTTCAACTCAGGTATCCAGCAACCTATCCTAAAGTGACACTTTATGAAGCTGAAGACGACTTTTATCTTTTTGCAGCTAAAACAGAATTCGATTTCCAGTACAACATTGTGTTTGACAGCATTGTTACTCAAATTAAGTGGCGGTTTGAGGCTATTATTAATGTATCCTCCAATTTTGACTTCTTATGAGGGAATTCACTCTCTAAAGGTTTAGTGGATAAACTTAAATAAAAAGCAAAAAACTTAGCTCAGATTTACAAGACAGATTTAGGTTGTTAAGCTAAACTTGGTTTGGTACGGCCCTGATTGTTATATAATAAAGTTAGGTTTAAACATTTCTTTAACAATATTTTTTGGGGGGTTGCTCATGACTTCCAATTTTTTTCACGACCCCTTATATTATATTTAAAACTCTAAAAATAAGTCAATCTGGGTTTAAAACTGAGCAAATATACAAAAAATTCAAAAAAGGTTATCAGTTTGACTAAGTGTGACAAGAAGTTTCTTTTGTTTCCACTAGGGCCAGCAACTCGAAATTCAAAAAAAAAAAAAAAAAAAAAATCAAAATAAGTAAATTCATTTTTGTTTCAAATAGTTTAATGGAAAGATATAAAGATAATAATATAACCAGTCATTTATTGAACATAGATGAGATATGTAAACTAACCAGAAGATTTATATGATATCATTGTAACAAAAAATATTTTAAACTAAAAAAAAGTTACTTACTCATTTCACATATCTCTTGTATATTCTTACATACATATTTCTTGCACATTTTTACATAGATACCTCTTGCATGTTTTTAAATAATATCTCTTACATAATTTTTAAGGTTTTTGAAAGCAATAGTGTGGTATTTCCGAAAATAAAAAATTTACAGTTAAAATCATACATTATTGATTACCAAAGTGCACTTCAATTTTTTAGTGGAAAAACATTCAGATGAATAAGAAACTATTGAAATTATTTTTTTAAAGCAATATTATTTATGACTTTTGCCACAGAGAACTTTAATGCTATTTAAAATTAAAAGAAATTTGTTTGATACACATAAACGCAAAAACACACTAAGAGTGAAGTTTGTTGTTAAAAACTTAAAAATTCATAAATACAACTTTATTTCATCAACTTATATGATTGAACAAATTCTAAGTTGGTTGTTATAAGGTAGTTTTGGTTTAAAAATAAAAGATTACTTTTAATCTTCGAAATAATCAAATTTAATTGTGGATTTAAATCATTTTTTCTCTGTTAATTGGATTTTCTAATTTAAACTTTTCTTTTTCTTTTTTTTTTTTTTTTTTTTTTTTTTGATTCTATAGTTAGGATTAAGTTATTTTATCCGATGCTCATTTCTGATTTTATAGTGGTTTAAAAATGTATATAGTGGTTAGTCATTGGCTAGCCAGTTTTGGCGGGTACCACTTGTTCACTAAGTAACCGATGAGCAAAACTACAGTGGTCCGCTAAAAATGCTTATAAAGGTCCACTGAAACCCCACGATACAAAATTTGTTGGGTAATAATGAAGTTAATGGTAAAATTAAATGAGGGCAATGTAAAAATATCCAATTTTTTAATAAACTGCAAAGTCTCAAATTTTGCTGACTTTTACACCACTCAATAATTTTGATAAGTTATGATCATCCCTAAAATTTTATCTAGTTTCAACCGGTTTTAAATATATTTAAATTTTAAACCAACAAAAATCGGTCATTTTAAAAAATGTCTTTGTTTCTGTTCTTTTTCAATTCAATGCTGAAAATACGTGCACCTACTTATTTTGAGGAAATAATCTAATAAAACAACATAAAACATTTAAAAATGAACATGACACCTAAAGTTCAAACTTTCATCACAATTTTATTGGCGCAAGTTTATTTACAAAAATCCTGATATAGCTCAATTATTCTTATTTTTTTTTTATTAGATGTTGTCTTAAATAGTTTAGTAAGTGATTTCAAGGAATTGGAGAGTGATTTTTTCTTAAACAGAAAAAAAAAAATGGTAAAGTTTACATGAATTAATTACTTATAAAACAGGAACTATAAAAAATCAATGGGAATCAAAAAAGGTATTCTTAAGTGCATAATACATGGAAGTGGACGTTTAATAATTTTCAGAAAATTAACTTTTTTTTTTTTTTTTAAATTCCATTTTTAATTTATTAAGACTCCTCCCCCTCCCATCCTTGATTAATTTTATTTTTTATGAACAAAAACCTGTTCTCAAAATTAAAGGTTTTAGAATATATTGTTGTTATTTTCCTAAAACCTAAAGCGGTCTTTAAAATTAGAAAATAAAATAAACTCACTTAGTTATTATTCAAAAGGTGCAGATATTGATTGATTTAAATAGGGATAAGCACAGACTATATAAATTTTTATTTGTATAAGTGAGTTTATATTTTTTAGATGTATATATCTAAAATCCATTTTTTAGATAAAAACTACAGAATAAAAATGCAGAATAAAAGCATTGTAAATAATATATAATAATACTTTTATTGGATAATGTTCGTTTTATTAGATAACTGTTCGTAAGTTCTTAAGACTAATTTATTTTATTAGTCTTACATTACTAGTCTTTGAAAAATTATCATTACAAGATTGCAAACATTTTATGGTTGAAAAAAGATCCAAAAAACTACGAACGGAAAACTCTTTATACCGATTTTTGAGCGATTTTTTTTCTCACGTGAAAAAATTAATTTTAAGTATTGGATCTATTTTATTTATAAAAGTAATTGAACTTATAACATTGCAATTTTATTACGACTTATCTCTAGGTAGATATCATAGCTTTGTACAGTAACAGATAAGACTTCTTGGGGCCCAGGGCAACTTTTGTTTTTTGAGGCCTTTTTATGGGCCAGATTCTAAAAAAAAAACCTAACCCTAACCCTAACCCTGACCCTAATCCTAACCCCGACCCTAACCCTAACCCTAACCCTAACCCTGAAGGTCCTCTAAAATTTTTGGGGGCTTCTAAATTTGCGGGGCCCGAGGCTATAGTCCTCCCTAGGCCCCCTCCTTGATCCGGCACTGGCTTTGTAGCTATTGATACTACTAAGATATATTGTTTGCTACATATCGTAGCTACAACATAACAATAAATCTGTAGCTAATCGATGGTTACATTTTGCAGCTATCTATCTAGCATCATCATTATAAAATACCTAAAGGTGGAGATTGTAGGTATCTAGTTAACTACGATGAAAAGATACATCTGAGGCTAGTTGATTGCTACATATCATAGCTTTTAAACTAACAATGTTATTACAATATACAGATAGCTACATATCTTAGCTTTATTGAAAGCTAAGATATTTATTTTAACAATATTGCTAAGATATTTATTTTAACAATATATATTTATTTTAACAATATATTCAACTTTATTGAAACAACAATTTTTTTACTTCTGTTTGACTATAGTCAAACAGAAGTAAAAAATATATGTAAATACATATCGCGAGTTTTAATTTAACGATTTTAAAACAATATGTTGGTAGCTACATTTTGTAGATTTGTAGCTTTTTAAGACATAGTTATAAATATATAGGTTATCGACTATAACGCTAATATTATTTTTATATTATTTTAGTTAACTATAACATAACAACAAGTTTTTATCAATTCAATAGCTACATATCATAGCTTTGTAGCTATTGACAAGAATGTTAGACAAAACTTCGAAAAGTGTTAAGTTGTGTTGTACAAAGTTTGTGTTGTACAAATCCGTCAGCAACTATCATAAGTATATAAGATAATAATATGCAATAATTATGCAGATAAAAAATAAAATAATATAACATAAACATAAACAAAAGTAAGAAATATATTGATTGCAAATTTTCGCTAGCTTATCACTAGCTAATCTAGCAAGCTACCTTCGTGGCTAAATCGTTATTTTTATTGTTACAAGTTGTCGTTAGCTAGTCGCAAACTTATGTAGCTAGCGATCCTCAAAGCCAAATCGCTGTATTTATTGCAACGAATATCGCTAGCTAGTCGCTAGGTAGTTTCACCCCAATTACTTCTTTTTTTAATTCAAATAAAAAGTTTAAAAAGATCCATATAATAAAGACTTTAAAAAAATGTCAATTGGTGAGGGAGAGTAGAAATATAAGAATATAAAATTATGGAAACTAAACATCTGCACTGATGCATCACAACTGGCTTGTCCGTGCATTCAGCATTTAGCCGATGCATCTGCATCGAATGCATCGGTATTTAAAAATAAAATAATTCCATAAACAAAATAAATTCAATGTATAAGTCTAAATTATATTACAGGTATATAAATTATAATAAAGGTAAAGGTGTAGTTACTAAAGTTTTTTGAAATATTTTTTTAACACATTTCTTTCTAGAGCCACTTTTATAGTTTGTTTTTTGTGTCAATTATCTAAACATTGCATAAAGCAAGGTTTTAAAACAGGCAAATTATGTAAATTAAAATAATACTTTCAGTTAAATTGATGCCAATTTTTGATGCCTATTAATTATGCCCCAAAACTTAGGTCGATGTTTTTGCCTAGGATAACTGTAACTAAGGCCAGCGTGAAGTGAGGGTGTGTTACACCCCCCTCCCTAATAATGAATTTTTTGTTCATTCAGTCGGCAAATTTGCCGATGAATTTTTTGAATTTTTTGTTCATTCAGTCGGCAAATTTGACACTTTTAGACAAGTCAGTCGACAAATGTAGAAGTCAGTCGTCAAATATAGACAGGCAGCCGGCAAATATTGACTAGGCAGTCGGCAAATTTCAAAAAACTTTTTTTTTAAATTTGCCGATTGCCGAGTTTTTTTTTTTTAATTTTAGTTGGCAAAATTTGTCACCCCACCCCCTCGTGACACCTACTTTCGTCGGCCCTCTAACGGAGAGATTTCAAGGTCTGAAATAGCAATGTAGATTATTTTCTTTCGCCTGATATCTAGCCTGACATCAATTCGGACTTAATAAACAGTCAAGAATCTAAAGTTAAAGATCTTGTACTTCTGTATCCAAATGATCATAGTAAAGACAAGTTTATTGATGAGTTCCGCCACTTTTCGTCTGACGCCATCTACCGATAAATGATCGGCCATTAGATCTAATGAATAGCATTAATGCCAAGAGATTTGAAAAAAATTTTCGAGAAAATTCGTATCTTTCTTATTTTGCCAGTATCTGTGGCTGAAGGCGAGAGATCTTTTAGCAAGTTAGTTCTCGTCAAGAACTCTCTAAGAGCAACCATGTGATAAAATTGTCTTGACAACTGTCTCATCTGTTCAATCGAAGCAGATTTTGCAAAGAAAATTGATTACAATGTTGTAACTTCCAACATTGCTGCTAGAAAAACTCTTAAGGTCTTGGTATAACGTCAGAAAAACTTGATAGCAAATCCAGAAATGTTTTTTTTCTTTGTTGTGTTTAATTGTTGGATTTGTGAACTCTCTTTAACACAGAATTTTTAAAATACTTTGTGAAAACTATAAAAACTAGAATACTAGCATAATTTTTCTTAATACTTTTTATTTTGGTGGTGGATAGGGAGGAGGGCATCCAGTAAATTTTTTTTATAACATAGCCCGGGCATCTTGAAGTCTCTGTGCGCCCCTGCCCACATCAAATGGTCAAACAAGTCAAGTTCTCTATGATATTTTAAATTATTTTTATAGTACCTAAAATGTGAAACACAAAAATATTTTACCACCAAATCATCTGAATCTTACCTATTTCAAAATTAAATAACTTACTCTTTACAAGACTAATTTATTAAATTATACTTAATTTAATCGGTTGGCTCATCTTCGAATCTTTGTTTTATCGGATTTTATTTTTTAACT